AAACTGTGGAAAAGTACCACTATTTAAGGACTTCATATATAATTGCTGATGGCTTAAACTAATTTTTTCAACTACGCAAAAACTTTGAAAAACTTATGTATTTTATGCAATACTCTTTTACAATGTCAGTAAATTGTGAAAAAGAGTATTAAGTTATAGGCAAAAGCCATTCGAATATTCAAATTTGTTGTTATTAAACAGAAACTTACTTTCGAGATAACTAGCAACACTCGACGAAAAAAAACGTTAGCCTTCTTTTTAAATAAATTAAGCTCCATCATATTATCGCAACTGGCACGTAAAGACCCGGCGGTATGCCCATAAAACGATTGAACTTTTTGTTGTATTAATTTCTTGGGCATATGAAACATTATCTGAAAAATGTCAACTATAATTAAATTATTTTCTTCTTACTTTTTACAGTACAGTTTAAGGAAGTTCCAACGTTATGTAAAAACCTTAGGAAAATCTTAAAGTATTTTGTTTGAACTGAAAGTTCAGTACAAATCAGTAAAAATTTTGAAAAATCAGGACATTAGCGTACTGATTGAAGAAATGAATAAAATCAGTACAATAGTTGAAAAATCAGTACTGTACTGATAAAATCAGTACGTCTGGCAACCGTATTGTCCCCGTTCCAGTCCGGATTTAGAGCTAGACACTGTTGTTCCACGGCTATGATTCAAATACTTGACGGCATACGGATATCCTTTGATAAAAACCATCTGACACTATTATGCCTTTTGGATTTCTCCAAAGCTTTCGACTCAGTTAGCCATGAACTACTATGCTTCAAACTCAAAAACTATTTTGGGTTTAGTGACTTTGCCGTGCAGTTAATGAAGAGCTATCTGTCCGACCGATCTCAGAGAGTAAAGGTTGGTGCTGAAGTATCTAAACTCTATTCTAGGGCCATTGCTATTTAGTTTGTTTATTAATGACATATTTAGTACTTGCCAATATGCAAAAATGCATGCTTATGCGGACGACATATAGATTTATTAGTCAGGATCTTTTGAAGACATGGCTAACTTGTGCGAGAATTTCAACAGATAATGTCTATATCCTATAGATCTTCGCAAAATGGTCTTTGTCTCAACTGTGATAAATCCTTTGTGTTGCCTGTATGTAAAAGAAATATTAAACTTGATGCCATTCCGTCCTTGTACATTGGTGATAAGTCTCTTAAACTTGTTTCTAAAGTGACTAATCTCGGTTTTGTTATAAACACTAACCTAACATGCACTGATCACATTAACTCTGTCATAGGCAAAGTCTATTAGTTATACTTTAAGAAATTTAAGAATGTCTGCTACTTTTACATCATTAATCGTTAGGCGTATACTGGCCATTTAATTAATATTGCAGATTGTCTGCTATTCTTAACTAGTCTACAGCAGCCTGGATTTTCAATCTTCTTATAAAATTTATGTAGTATTCAATCATGTTACTCGATATGTTTTTGGGCTATCGAAATTTGAGCGAGTATCCGATTAGAAATCGCGACTATTGGGCTGCAGTATCTCTGAATACTTAAAAGCAAGAAATTGTATTTTTTTCATTTCGCCTAATGATGGATAAAGATCCTAGATATCTCAAAGTCTGCACGCCTTACTGACCTGATTATACCCAAGTACATCTGCAAGACCATTTTTCGTCAACGCTATTCGCACCTGGATCTCGGTTCCAGGACATATTCGCGGTTTTACTTTTTCTTTTAAATAAAATACTATATAAGTTTGAAGGGTAGTATATTTTTTCAGATTTCTTTAAAATATACTATAAACATCTTAGAAAATGTTGGAAACCGTAGTGTCTGCTGAGTGCCCTCTTTTAAAAGCTGGTGCTATAGCCACCGAGAAACGCAACCGCTTACAACAAAACGCTTATCAAAACTTTTGTTTTAGCAAACTTGGTTTAATAATAAATAATTATCGCCGCTAGAAATACTCACTCATATTTTATATAAGGATAATTAACAAGAGAATTAGAAATCTTTTTATGGAAAAGTATTTTTGTGAATACTCACTATTAAAAGTGCCTTCAAAATTCGATTAATCGATTATTTCTCAATAATTGCAATTATTTTTTTTTTTGCTGCAGAAACAGTTGTTGAAGACATTAATACGATGTCTTAAAATTTTGGGAGAAAGTTAAAGATTTTCCACTTCTTAGAAGCCTTTCAAGGCAGATTTTAAACATACCAGCTAGCTCAGCAACTGTTGAAAGAGTTTTTTCTGTGCCAGGCAAAATATTATTTTTAAACAAAAATATGACTTGCCGCTCAATTCTGTGTGAAATTGTATCAAGATTTTTATCAAGTAAAAGCTCCCATCGCATTCTGTGTCAATATTTATAAAATAAAAAACTTTACGATTTCCACAAGAGGGGAATTCATTGTCACATATGAAAAATATGAATTTAGAAGCAAAAAAGCTTTTGACTGTCGTAGGCGAGTAGGTAGAGATGTCGGCTATAAATTCTGTGTGATGCAGGTTCAAATGCCGACACATGCACTATTTAAATGATAAAAACAAATTTTTTAATATACAAAATTTATACGTTTCACATGAAATTTCAATTTGTCAATAGCATTTTCAGTCTTGATAATTTATCAAGATTTATTAACAAATCGTAAAGATTTTGAATTTATCAAGTGCACAGAATCGGGCTGCTAACGTCATTTTAAAATTTCAGTGAATGAATATTGATGTGAATTCTTTTCTATGAAATTCGTCAAAAAAATTAATAGTGCGTTTATCTCAGGCAAAATGTTTGGTCAAGCTTTTATAACAATACTTGAGCGATAAAGCCTATTTATATGAAATTCTATTTATGTATATATGTAAATAAAGTTCCAATTAAAAAAACAACGTTTGTGAAAAAACGTGCGTGAACGTGATTGAAAAAAATGTAAGGGATCGTGAGTGTGCGTGATTTACAAAACGTGCGTGCGTGAACGTGAGCCAAAATTACCCAAGCGCCCATCTCTAATATGCAGTTACATGACTTATGAAATTCTAGTAAAACAGGTTCAAGTTTTAAGGTATCCACACACCTACGCGATTCTGTCGGTATGAATCTGTTCCGATAAAAATTAAAACAATGCCCACCATAGTTTTAAATTAGGAACCACACACTTGCACGATTTTGCTGCAGCGATTTATTCGAACATTCACAGTTCTTCTTTTGGTCGTGCCGAAATCGCAGACTGCCGGGTTTGGGAACGAAAAAGGTCAATAGAAGGATTTTGAAATATTAAAACAAAATTGAGCGTAAGAAAAGAAAACATATTTGATGTAGAAAAATTAAGAATTTTATTTTTGTTGAAAAATACTTTTTGTTTGTCTATAAATTAACAGTTTTTGCTGCGATAAAATCGCACAGATGTGTGCGTACTTGCGTTTTCGAAGCAGTAACGTCTGTAGCCTCAAAAACCGTGCTTATTCGTTGCGACAGAATCGCTTAGGTGTGTGGATGTCTTTAAGGGGATAAAAAGTCGCGTTGATTTTAGTATTTTCTCCTGACGGCTTTTGTGGTTTTTTCATATAACATGTGCAATAGGGGGCCCATTGAAAATACCCCTACCCCTTAATTTTATTCGTTTTTATAAGAAATACTATTGCCTATTTTTATAGATTTTTTAAGGGTCACTTAGAGGTCACGACCTGTCGATTTAGGTCAGAAAATACGATTTTGGAGATTTATGGATTTTTGAGTGACTATTTTTGATTCGATTTCAAAGATTGAATATGATCTGAGAAGAGGGTATATAGGCCTTTAAAATGGAATATGTATAATAAGCTATTGTCGGACTTGGCTTGTTGGGATTTTTTATCAGCTAAATAAAAAAAAAAAACATATTTCTCTTAATTTTTTTTTAATTTTGACCATCGATAATTTCCAAAATTTCAAAATTTGTGGTATTATCTAAAATTAAATCTATTTTTAAATAACTTGGTAGCTCACTTATTGCAATCGCATAAAAGTTGTCGAAGTTAGGCGACTTTTATTAAATACGGCCTTGAATTTATATTGTTTATTAACCGGACTTTCAGATTTTTTGAGCAGTGTGACTAAGGAATTCATCAATATTAATTCAAAATTGATAAACACAATCGCTCTTTAACAAAAAAATGGGTTTTCAAGAAATTGGAGGAAAATGGGGGTGGCACCACCCACTTATATCATATATGTGTATCTCAAAAACTACTTGACCGATCTCAACCAAATTTGGCATACACATTGCGCTTAGGCTTCTCAAGATCATATTCGATCTTTGAAATCGAATCAAAAATAGTCATTCAAAAACTCATAAATCCACAAAATCCGATTTTCGGACCTAAATCGACAGGTCGCGACCTCTAAATTACCTTTAAAATATCTATAAAAATATTTCTCATATAAACGAATAAAATTAGGGGGTAGGGTCTTGAAACTTAAAAAAAAAAAACATTTTCGATGGGCTCCCTAATGTGCAATTTATAAAAACTCGGATTCGGCGTAAAACTGTAGGTGCCTCCCCTTTGTGTGACACCATCAAGGCGCACGCCACAAATCGAAGAAGCTCCGACAAACACTAACATATTTAGGGGACTCACAATACGTGTTAATCGTCGTTAAATCTTTAGCTTAGTATTTTTATATGTAAAGTAACGGTTAAAATGTTTTAATGGGGGCTAATTATATATATATTTTTAATCAGTTTAAAAACATTTCTATCTAGTCAGAAATCCTCTAAAACCATTTTAATCTACAGTAAAAAATCGTAATCTTAAGATTTTACGACGGTTAACACGTCTTGTGAATCCCCTAATTGTGTAAGCGTCCATCTATTATATCATTATTAACATTCAACGTGAAATCTGCGCAAATATTAAATTTTTCAATGATGTTATTACAGACTGACTTATATTATTCAGTTTCATTGTTTTAAGAAAACATACACATACATACCTATGCAAATACATATCTACCTAACTCATTTTCGTATTTTACAGATTGGCAGCAATTCGTGCATAAGAGCTTAAAACAGTGGGAGGCTACTTATTTAAGTTGGGCTCAAGATTTCTCAGGAAATGTCAAAGTTGTTTTTTACGAAGATTTGGTCGGGAACTTAGAAGCAGCGTTAAGAGGAGTTTTAAAGTTTTTAGAACTCCCTGTCAACGAGGTAATAATAAGTTTATTTACTTAAACAAATATTAAACTCATTTTAAGAAACGCAACTAATGAAGATAGAATTGTAGGTGTTTAAATATGAAAGTATTGGGCAATTCACAAGGTGTCGTATTTGTCGTGTTTGTCGTGAAGTCATGATATTTCATGACAGTTTTAAAAATGTTGTTATTGTTTTGTGAAGAAAAATAACACATGACGATACAACTCTGCAACCTATGTTTATTCGGTGTTATGTGAGGTTAAGTGCTGAGATATAATAAATAATCGTAACAGGTGTTCACAACCGTCGTGTTTTAACACAACTTTTGTTAGGAAAATATAACTTCACAACACCTTGTGAATTGCCCATATGTAAACTAGGCACATGACTTTTTTTGTAAAATTAAATTTACACATCTACCTATGAGGCGAGGATGAGAAATAACGAAAAACCAACAAAAATAAGGTTTTTGTCAAAACTTGTTACAAAAAGTTCCTTCAGGGAGCTCCGAGGGAAGGATATTTTTGTATTAAAAAAATATGTTAACTGAAATATGACTGTACTTGGTTTCTATTTTTTTTTTCGTTTTTGTTCTGATAGGTGGATAAGGGACCGATCTATTCCAAAAAATCGTATTTATGGTCCGATTTGCTTGAAATTCGATACCCGTTTTATAGATATGCGTAGAATAGAACTGAGTCATTGCTTTACAGTTCGAAAGGTGTTTTAAGGCGCCGCAAACATGCGGGTATTGGCTATTTAACAATACTTATTACACAGGCCAACAAAAATAAAAAATTTGACGCAGCAAATGTTATCGCTATTTTTGACGTAAGCATACAGTTTCCTTCAGCTCCAGATTTTAAGAAAAACGAGGTCAAGGTGTCAAAAAATCGCGTTTTACCAATATTTGAGAAGCTCTAGCAAAGAAACAAGGGTAGTAGAACCACCCACTTAGGCTTAAATTAAAGCAAAAAATCTAGACAACTATCCCTGCAAATTCCTGCACCTTTGCTTGATGGTCACTTATAGTCATTTGTTGAACAGGAAAAACTGAATTTGGGAAGTTTGAGTGCCTTCCGCAATTAAGCCAAAGGTGTGAGAACCTTCCACTTAGGCTTAAATTAAGGCTTGGACTTCTGACTTCAATCCCTGAAAATACCATTCCTGCATCTTGACCCTAACGTCACCTATAGTCATTTGTTGAACAGCCAACAGTCATTTTTAGACATTTTTTTTTTCAATTGCATAATTTTCCAGTATTTTTTTTTTTTGTTGGGCGATAAAAAGTAAATGAGTATAGGTGACCATCAGAGCAAGCTACAGGAATATTATTTTCAGGGATAGTAGTCTGTAGTTCTAGCTTTAATTTAAGACTAAGTGGAAGGTTCTTCTCCTTTTGTTTCCTTGCTAGAGCTTCTCAAGTATTGCAAAAACGCGTTTTTTGACACTTTCACCACATTTCTCTCAAAATCTGGAGCTGATGGAATCTTTATACTTACGTATTCTTAATTAGCACAAAAAAGCCTATCAAAACCAGTTTCAACATTTGTCGCATCAAAATCGGTGTTGCCCTGTGTTACCTACACTAATTATATGAAGAGAAGCTCCTTCTTTTTACAAGAGGTGATCTCGCGAACGGCTGAATCGATTTTTTTTTGAAATTTTTGACAGCTACTGCAGACTTTCGATATATTAAGAGAGCGTGGCATCACCCACACATATAGAATTTTTCATACCGAATATCTCTGAAAGTATTTGTGGTAGTGTCCTGTAAAGTGGTATAGAGATTTTGTGGCTACTGGCAAGGGACGTGGCGATTTCCAAACATATTGAAACTTCTACCTATCTGTAAATATATACACCCAGAATATATTGTTTTTTTCTTTTTCATAATAAATTTTTTTGTTAATTTTTATAGAAATATAGTTAATTTTTCATCAAATGGCACCAAATTGTGAGTATGCAGTTTTGTAGTTCACCCAATTTCAGTATCATAAAGTGCAAGGTTTTAATGGCTATAACATACCGTTGATTTTTGAGAATTTGTTTCGCTGATGATGGTGCGCATTTTCTCCGTATAACGAATGCGTGAGAATGTATGGGGAAAAAAGCCGAAGAGTGTCAGTATGTAAAAGACTTATTCTGGTGGCTTAACTCTTCCTAAACGACCGAAACGATTTTAATTATAATTTTTCAATCGATTCGCAGGCTCCAGGGATCAAAGTCAAATTACTCCCGTTAAATCAACCATCAGAACCATTTTGGTCCTTGCTTACGGTGACTATATAGAATGTGGACCAATGATACTCACTGTCTACGGCTATGCCAAAGGCTTCATACCTTCTATGAACAACAGAAAATTTTACTTTAACTGATTGCTGCATTCGAATGAGTTGTTTGGGAGCTAACCAAATTTTTATATTCACAGCTTACATACATACCTACAGCGCGATTCTGCGCACTTGATAAATTGAATATCTTTATAATTTGTCAATTTTTTTATTGTTTATCAAGAACTAGCAGACCCGGCGAACTTCGTCCCGCCCAAAATTAATTTTTTTATTGAAACATTTGGCCCAACGTTTTCGCCAGCAATTCACGTTCACGTTTGGATTTGTGGATATACCTTCTATCCTCCATTGCCGTCTTAAATAACCTGACGAAAGCGTTATACCGGGAGTCCTTGCGGCTCGATAGTGAATCGTCCTTGAATCTGTATAGTATAGTTGGTGGCAATTTCTAAACTGGTGAGTATCATTGGTCCACATTCTGTATAGTCACCGTAAAGCAAGGACCACAATGGCTCTGATGGTTGATTTAACGGGAGTAATTTGACTTTGATCCCTGGAGCCTGCGAATCGATGATTTTTAGCAACAACTCGGCTCCAGCGCCACTAAAAATTATCATTAAAAAAATATAATTAAAATCGTTTCGGTCGTTTAGGAGGAGTTAAGCCACCAGAATAAGTCTTTTACATACTGACATTTTTTCCCATACATAAAAACTCTCACGCATTCGTTATACGGAGAAAATGCGCAACATCATCAGCGAAAAAAATTGTTAAAAATCAACGGTATGTTATAGCCATTAAAAACTTGCACTTAATGATACTGAAATTGAGTTAACTACAAAACTGCATACTCAAAATGGTGCCATTTGAAGCAAAATGAACTATATTTCTATAAAAATTAACAAAAAAATATATTATGAAAAAGAAAAAAACACTGTATTCTGGATGTATAAATATATTTACAGATAGGTAGAAGTTTCACTATGTTTGGAACGCGCCACGTCCCTTTTCCAGTAGCCCCAAAATCTCTATACCAATTTCCAGGACACTACTACAAATACTTTCAGAGATATACGGTATGAAAAATTCGATATGTATGGGTGATGTCACGCTCCCTTAATATATCGAAAGTCTGCACTAGGTGTCCAAAATTTCAAAAAAATCGATTCAGCCGTTCGGGAGATCACCTCTTGTAAAAAGAAGGCAGGTAGCACAGGGCATCACCGCTTTGGATGCGGCAAATGTTGAAGCAAGTTTTGATAGGCTTTTTTGTGCTAATTAAGAATACGTAAGTATAAAGATTCTATCAGCTCCAGATTTTGAGAAGCTCTAACAATGAATCAAAATGTGATAGAACCTCCACTTAGGTTTAAATTAAGGCTTGGACTTCTGACTTCAATACCATCCCTGCACCTTGACCCTGTAGTCATTTATTGAACAGCTAACACTGAATGTTACACCATTTTTGACGATAAAAAGTAAATGAGTATAGGTGACCATTAGGGCAAGGTGAAGGAATAGTACTTTCAAGGATGGTAGTCTGTAGTTCTAGCTTTAATTTAAGCCTACGTGGAAGGTTCTATCACCTTTTGCTTAATTACGGTAGGGACTCAAACTTCCCAAAATCAGTTATTCCTGTTCAACAAATTACTATAAGTGACCATCAAGCAAAGGTGCGGGAACTTGCAAGGATAGTATTCGAGATTTTTAGCTTTAATCAAAGCCTAAGTGGAAGGTTCTACCACCCTTTGTTTCTTTGCTAGAGCTTCTCAAATATTGAAAAAACGCGATTTTTTGCACTTTGACCTCGTTTTTCTTAAAATCTGGAGCTGATGGAAAATTTATGCTTACGGATTCGTAATCAGCACACAAAAATTCGGCAAAAATAGCGTTAACATTTACTGCATAAATTTTTTTTCCATTTTTGTTGGCCTATGTAATAAGTATTGTTAAACAGCCAATACCCGCATATTTGCGCCGCCCTCAAACACCTTTCGAACTGTAAAATAATGACTCGATCCTATTCTACGCATATCTATAATACGGGTATCGAATTTCAAGCAAATCTGCCGATTAATACGATTTTTTGGAATAGATCGGTATCTGGTTCACCTATCAGAAAAAAATATCCTATATGTTACGTGGCAAATTTCAAGCAAATCGGACCATAAATAAGACTTTTTCGAATAGATCGGTACCTGGCCCACTTAACGGAAAAAATGAATCCTATAAGCTAATCTAGGCTAAAGGCGGCCAACGAACCAAAAGCATTTTTTTAGCGTAGCTCGACCCCTGCGCCACCTATCGGAAAAATTAAAATTTTGTGCACGACTTGTTTTAAACACCTTTCCAAAAAAGCAACACCCATTCGAATTAAATTTTCGATTTTTCCAATTTTCCGACCTTCCCGGAGGGTTTTCCCAAAATTTTCTTTCGTAAAAACCTTCTCCTGGCAATTACGAACAACTAAAAAATTTTATTTTCGAAATCAGCCCAACCGTTCTCAATTGATGAATTACTATACATTTTTCACACCATTTTTATATATATAGCTCAACGATAAGTCGCAGCTCTGTATTTTAAACTTGCGCTTTATTTGAATTGATCGGGCTACAAAACTGCATACTCAAAATATGTATTTATAGGAAATCTAATTAAAAAGCTTTACGAAAGTTTTTTGATTTTTTTAATGTTGCGCAAAGATTAAACCTTGGATTTATACGGGTTTTGTTAAAGTGTAAACTGCATTTTTATAAACAAATAATTAAAATTATATCATTTTAA